AAAAAAAAACATTTTAATCGTTAATTGAAATTTCTTGAAAATTTGGAGATACATCATTCTTCAAATAATTAGAACATGATTTTAATGAAATGAATTGTAGAACTTGTTGCAAAATATTTATAGTAGTGTCACGCCCCAGAAATACGACTCTGAGCTGATTTTGTGACAAAAGATTCGATTCGGTGTGGAGCGGACGAGAAGACTGGTGAAGACAAAAGAGAGAGAAAAAAATGGTCGAAGGCGGGTTGATTTTTGTGAAAATAACATTCATTTATTTTTGTACTTTTTGAAACAGCTTACATTCTGATCAACGGAGTTAACGGAAAAGAAAGGACTTGATTTCGATTTTGATGACGGTTGACATTGGTAGCATTTTATAACAACACGACAGAAAGAAAATGGCCGCCAAAGCCGTGTAGTGATTAGTATAAAAGTTTTGGAAATAATTGTTAAACGACTCTCATATAGTACACGCATTTACAAATTCAACCTCACTAATGCTGGAACTTTAATTGCTATAACAACATATATGCAATCCGATCAATATTTCATGCGAAAGTGTGTGTGAGTGGAATATATAACTCAACGTAATTAATATTTCATTCAAGAGTTTAAGCCAACATCGGCACTAATTGCGTTTATTGTTTCGCTCTTTGCGTTCTCAGTAAACAAACTGCGCCCTTTTCATAAACGGCTGTATAATTAAAAAAAAAGAATCGACTTAAAGCAAAAAAGGACAAAGTAATAAAAAAAAAGTGAATCAACTGGTTTGAAAGTAAAAACATTTAATAATGATTACCACACCCGCGTCTTCATATGGAAAAATGTAAGTATGGATGTAGATAAGCCAAGAAAGGTAGAATGAAACGATAATAGGTCTATCTGAGAACACGTGAGTGACATGCGGAAAAGTGAGTAAGTTAAAAAAAGAGCAATTAAAATGTGTGTAAAGTGGGTCAAGGCTTACAAAAGTGAACAAAAGTAAACGTTTTTACAGATACGAAAATTAGGAGAAAAGACGATGTCAATGGTCTGAAAGAATGCGACATGGGGAGAGGATACTTCTTACAAATTAACTCTGTTTGAGGAGGTTCTGATTACCTCGTCGATTCATAAGGAAAGAACTCAATTTGTATAAATTTTCAATACATATAATTTATGCATACATGGAAAGATATTTAATAGTTGGAAAATTATTTTATTCGCGACATTTTAATAGAAATGTTTATTTGACTTTAATGTAAAATTTAAGCAAACTCAACTGTATTCACAGTTATGCTTCATGTGCGTAAAGCAAAATGAAAATACTTCATACTTATTTCTGACACAATGCCTGTCGCTCGTGCTATTTTTGGAATCACCGCAATGCTGATATTGACTTGACTATGTAAACATTCATGATTCATGTGTTATATTGGCAATGGCAATGTTCGACAGTTACGCCCACGCAAAGCGACAGAAGATTACTGAGAAAATGTGTTAAAATGTGTGGGATTTGCAGCTTATATGTAAGAACAATATGAGGTAAATAAAACTACCAAATATGTTATATTCAACATATTGCGATCTACCCTAAAAACCACTTTTCGCAAACTCAAGAAATACTACTTCCTGCAATAGCTCGAAAATTTTGAAAGAAAACCCCCTCACGTCTCATTAGTTGGTTTCATTTAGTGTATTAACTTAAAGAGAACTTTTAGTGGATTAAGTAAATTTAGCTTCCTCAAAGTAAATTTTTGCCGGTTAGGATAGACAGAGGATAGCAACTCTGTTCTAGTGCCATTTACCTTAAATATCATGTAGGTTTGAATTGCACCAAGTAATTTCCTAACAACAAGTCACTCAAAAGTATTTAGGCACAAATAGAAGAGAACTGTTCCAGAACCATTCAATATTCCACAAATAACGGAATGAAAGTGTTTGTAAATCACCAAACAATTTAACCACAGCGTAAGCTAAAGTATTTTGAAGCTGCAACAAAAACACATTGAATCTTCATTTTTCGAGTAATCTAAGAAATACTCCCGTAGTGAACCACGTCAGTACTCAGACATTGCCAAAGACATTGACTGCGTTCAAGTTGGCGGCTGCTAAAAGTTTCTTTAAGTAAGTTAGGATGCAATACGAGAAAGAATGATATGGGCACTCATTGATGCACTTCGGCTGAAAACCTCAGATGTAGCGTGAGTAGTGTTCAAATTGCAGTAGGAATGGTTGCCGTGACTCGAGCTACGCGACCCTTTCACACTTTTCCTTTGGGCTTAATGGAAACTTCATGATTCAATCAGGCATTGTCAGTTCAACGAGAAGCATTTACTTTACAAACCTGCTTACAAACAATCAGACGCATACACAAACACAACTTTTTTACGAGGCCATTGATTGAAGTAAGTTCTAAAGTTGCAGTGACTGCATTCGAATCCATTTTCATTTTGCCTTAAAAAAAACTAAACGAAGAATTACAATGTAAATGAGCACAAGAAATTTAGAGATGTGAACAGATTAGCTAACTTGCCTCCGTTAGTCTTTGTCTATGAAGGAAAGTTAACAACAAACACTGCTATTTCATTTCCAAAATCTACACCTTCACCAAGGAATTTTCCAATACCTTAAGTGTTTTACCAAATTCAGCATATTTTTGTTGGTTCACCACTGACGGTGGCTAAATTTTTAGTTCATGAAAAAGTTTGTGATTTGAACAGAACTTTGTAACAACCAGTCGGAGGGTTAGACTTCGCACTTACCTCTAAAGAAAGAGTCTTTCTTCTCAAGCCTTCTTTTATTTGCATTTAATTAAAAGAAAATTACGAAAGTTAAATTTTATTTGCATTTCAAAGGAGGTTGTGACCGGTAGACAACCCATTGTCAAACTGTAACTGTACGCAGCCTTGCAAAATTTAAACTATAAGCAACGCATAACTATATTAATGAAAATAACGGTAGTAATGGTAATGGCAGCAAGGGCATAAAATTAATACAAGTTTAAAATTCTACACCTTGGTGTAACAGTAAAATGAAGGCGACCATTGAGACGAGCAACAAGTGAGATATGCCTCTGGGAAGATAAGTAAGTAAGTCGAGTCTTTAGCGAAGGTTTTGAACTGAGACTTTGGTTATTTCAGATTTAAGCAGATTTACTACTTCCGAGCCCACTTTAATGAAAACCGACGACAAACTTTGATGATGGTGAATATTGTGTAATATTTTACTCCGGATTTCCACATTTGCATATGGGAAAGAAGAGCAGACACCACTGCATGGAAATTGACTAAATAATTTAACCGATACATAAATTTTCCATTATTTATTTGTGAGTTCTCTTACATAAACACACAATCTCCTCACTTTATAAGTAGTTGTACACACTTCTTCTTCTTCTTCCGCGATTATAGCCGAGCTAAAAACAGCGCAGCACCTTCTTTTCGCTACATGGCGCCAATTGGATATTCTAAGCGTAGGAGGACCTTATCCACCTGGTCCTTCCAACGGAGTGGAGGTCTTCCTCTTTCTCTGCTTCCCCCGGCGGGTACAGCGTCAAAGACTTTCACAACTGGAGCGTTTTCGTCCATCCGGACAACATGACCTAGCCAGGGTAACCGCTGTCTTTCAATTCGCTGAACTATGTCAATGTCGTCATATATCTCATACAACTCATCGTTCCATCGAATGCGATATTCGCCGTGGCCAACGCGCAAAGGGCCGAAAATCTTTCGCAGAACTTTTCTCTCGAAAACTCGCAACGTCGCCTCCTCAGTTGTTGACATCGTCCAAACCCCTGCACCATATAGCAGGACGGGAATTATGAGTGACTTATAGAGTTTGGTTTTTGTTCGTCGAGAAAGGACTAGCACCTGTTGGCAAGAGTTATCTTGCGTTGGATTTCCCGGCTGACATTGTTGGTGGTGTTTATACTAGTAGAGGCAGCTCCTTGTCGTGCTGTTTGATCGACGAAGAGGGGGTGTGTGTCGATTCTCTTGTCACGGGTCTTTTTCCAAATTTGGCGCATGGCATGTCGGTTGTTGATTTCCTAGGTCTAAAGCCACACTAATAAGGTCCAATCAGTTTGTTGACGGTGGGCTTTAATCTTTCATACAGTACGCTCGACAGAACTTTATAGGCGATGTTGAGGAGGCTCATCCCACGATAGTTGGCGCAGATTGTGGAGTCTCAAAAAGGTAAAATTCCAACACTCTGGGAGCTGTTACTGTCTTACAGCCGTGTTTATTGGTCATTTTGTCGGATAAATGTCAATAAAATTGAGTAAAAAAGATAAACACAAAAGTTATGTGTATGGTAGTATATACTTGTACATTAAAAAAAACATGAACTCACACAATGTCAATATAATACCGTTACTACTTTCAAACTGAATTTGGGAAGCATTACAGTTGTGTCGGTCTTTGTTGTGTATTTGTGGAGTCATGAAAATAATACTGAAAATGCAAAATGCAGGGAAAATAAAATTACTTATACTTAAATATGAAAAGACAAAATTTACCAATTCTGTTTTCTACAGAGAAATTATCTTTTATTTGTTATTAAATGTCTTTAGTTATATTCAACAACTTAATAATGCATTAATAATTTAAAATTACGAATTTATAAGTAATTTTTTTTTGCTATTTTCTTTATGTATAACTTTCTGTATGCGGTAGTAAATTGCAATTAGTCAATTCATTTATCTTCGTGTTGAACAAATTGCGTTAAATCATTGTGTTTCTGTCACTTACAGGGCCAACACCATCTCCCCTAATTGAGTTGCGAATGACGGAAACATAGAAAAGACCTTTTAAGTGCTAATAACTGGCACTCGGCCAGCTTGAAGCCGAAATAAGGGACCCTCACATGCGGAAAGACACAGTCATGAGGTGTGTGTAGTGCTCATTGTCAACAACGTTTCACATCTGGTTTGCTTGTCGCAGCGGATGGTCAAGAGGAAACGGGGTCAGTAAGAGAGCCGTTTTTGGCGTCTATGGCCATTCAACTTGCCTTGCCGTTGCCTTTTAGTTACTGCAACTTCGCGAACATACCAGGAAATGTGTGTGTCAGGTTTCGTAGGAAATATAATAATAAATACGAAAAAACATCACAACTATATCTGAATGTTCACATAATCAGAGCATAAAAATAGAACCCTCCTCTTCGAAAAAACTGAACCAAACAAGCACTTAATTGCTTGGCTTTTCGAATGCGAATTGTGGCGAATTATAGCCAGAAAAGGGCAAGAGGCGAGCTATATTTTTACTGTTCGTAAGCGATGTGATGAATAGCCAGTGTGATGCCGCCGAGCGTAGGTGTCAAGAGCTGCAGTAACGCTAGTAAGGCAAACAAAAATTGTGAGTCCATGACATTGTATATTAGCCACGGGACATTTTGCATTTTACTAAGACGCTTGGCTCGTTAAAGAAGAAAGGAAAATGTATGAGTTCTGATAAGGAGAGTATTAATTAGAATGCAATGTATTGATGGAATAAAGCTACTTTGGATTGCTCAACACCTTGGCATTGGCAACCATCTTCGCTCTGTTGGTGTTTGTAGTCAGAAGTAATTAATTAATTCCAAACTTTTGCAACGCCAGTGAAAACGCTCGGCTTGGCATCGAAGGAGTGGAAAATTGCAGAAACGAAATTTAGTGTTCCCGCCATTTGAGAATAAGTAAGAGATAAAAAATGAGAATAATTGCAATTATAAAAACATCTTCGTCGTGAGTAATAAAGAGTTTCCCTGGCTATACTTTATCAGTTGTTAAGCACTCCAGGTTAGCAATTTGAGCGCTTTTGTTGGATCAAATTTAGCTGTATTTGATCTTAATTAGAGACTTCATAGAACTTTTACTCTTTGAAATGTTATTGCCATAAGATTTACATTTGAGGCCCGGTGAAATTTGGAGATTTAAAGAGAAAGAACTAAGGAAGGGATAGGTTTTGGAGCAACCGAACATTTTATACTCTCGTAACTTGCATATATATTATATAATCTATGTAACTCATACACAGACCGACATATTCGGCAAAAGGATTGTTAGAAAACGAAAATCATTATATGTATAAGTACCTCAAATACTATTATCAATCATATAGAGTAGATTCAGCCGGATGTTCCAGATATTAGTTAATTGGGGCTTAAGTCAAGATTTCGCCAACTTTTTAGAAACCTACATTGTCATCAGTAAACTGCGCCTTCTGACTTTTATGGATATAACTCGCATATTGGCCGATCAAATTTGGCTTTTGTAGCTTTGACTGTCAAGCAAATTTGTACGTTACACCTATTAGAGAGTACGCCACGCCCACTTTTTCAAAATTTTTAGCCCACAGGTGCCTCTTACTGCTGTAACCCTCTGTGCTAAACTGTACAGTGGTACATCTTATTTTAGTGCTTAGTTATTGCACTTTATAGGTTTTCCTTTAAAAGCGTGTTTTGGGTGTGGCAGTGGTCCTATTTCGCTCTCCTACGAACTCTGCCTTACTTTCTTTTTTTTTTTTTTTTCAAAAACATGTGTACGAAATTTTATCGAGATATCTTAATTTTTCCTAAGAACGGACGGAAAAACGAACAGCCACTCGGAATTCATTTTTTCTCGACATTATGATTATCTCTCGATTATTTTTAAATGATACATACAACCGTTAGATGAACCAAACATGTGAAAAATAAAGATATCTAATAAATACTCTTAATATAGATATATTCACATGTGCACTAATATTACCTACAAGTATGTGCAAAGTGTACCTATTGCCTCCGAAACCATACCCTAGGTCAGTAACTCCTTTGATGATGTGTACCTAAGCCATGCCTTAATATCATGCCTTTCGATAATAGCTCCTTCCATTGACCGATTTATTCAAATGAAAAATGAGTGTGCCCAGGTCACCGTAGTTGCGTGAAATTGACAATAAGACCACACACACCACTAAGAACATTTAAATTTTAAGGAGCCTAGTCAATCAGAACGAACCACACAAACCAATTAAGGTATTGTCACAAGCAACTGAAAAGCAGGGCCGATATTGAAGTCTGGTCAGTGCGTATGTCACTCTGTATTGAGGAATTTGATGAGAGATTCAGCGTGTTTCCTAAAATGTATAATAAAATACTGAACAAGACTAAAAAGTTAAACATTTTTACTCTTGACTCGAATACTCATGACCGCTTGGGATTTAAAGTCGGTTTAGCTAGAAAACAGTATTTAATTTATTTGTTTTAGTAATTAGCAAATATTATAGTTATAAAATATAAATTATTAACCTGATGCATAATTAATTTTACGCAATAGATAACGCAACATAGTATCATGTCTAGGAGTCTACAGGTCTGTTTGTAAAGAGCCATTTCTCTCAGTCTGCATCCTTATTTCACAATTTTTTTAGTTCTTAATGTTAGGAAAACAGCTGTTCTATTCAAATTACGTATATAAAAACTCAAATTGTATATGTTGGTAGTTACAATTAATATTTTCAATTTTCAGTTAAATTCGCCCATATCAAAATATTTTTTAAACAGAAACAGCAGTACACCCCTTGGCTCACCTGCGAAAGGAAAAGCGCGGAAGCTCTTGGAAATTACCATTTCCTGAGTTATAATTACTTTGGCCTTTAAGGTTTCCCACATTTCACTCTATTTCTCCCTTTTTTTTTAGTTTTCCCCCACAGTATTGCTCGTTAAGAGGTCACAAGCAGAATTAAAATAAATACAGGAATTGTGAGGTGCGGAGAACTTAAGGCCTGGTACATAAAGTTGACAGTTAAAAAATTAATATCTTCAAGTGTGAGTACTAGTTTAAAGAAACAACGAACTAAAGCATAGGAGCTATTGGCACCCTTTTCTACATTCTCCTGTTTTTATTCTTGGCGTTTTTCTCTCCTCTGATAAATTTAATTTTAGATATACATCTGAGTTGTTCGGAATTTGCTGCCTGCCAGCGCAAGTCATGGCTATTTACATGCTCTAATCAGCTGTTCTACGATGCGGATGCGAAGGTCCGGCTAGAGCTCAGCTAAACTGTGAAAGTGTTTGCTGCGAACGTGGAGGTGTTGAATGTTTTTATAAAATGCTATTAATTTTTTAATGAGTATAAATGGAGCTGAGTTAAGTCTGACTTTTAATTTGCGTGGTTACGTATCTGTAAAAGTACCAACAACTAAATAAATACATAAAAAGATATTTCAAGAACAAGAAGGAACTTTCAAGCCAGTTTCTGTACTTCAGCACAACCCACCAATGACGCTGTAATTTTTTAAACAATCTGGACTGAAACCTTTATTAGACGCATATAAAAACTGTATATTCAGTTAATTAAAACTAAAAATTAGTTAAAAATTAATATTTTCATCACTTCAAACATTAGTTCAAATTCCGAAGAACATAAAAAAATAACACTTCCTATTTTCAAATATTTTATCAGGAATCTTCAATCTAAAT